GGGGGGTTGTGCTTTGCATTGCTTTGCACTATTGCACTATTGCACTGCTTTGCACTGTTGCACTGCTTTGCACTGTTGCACTATTGGTGCTCGTGCGCCGCTCCGGTGCTTCTCTTGTGAGCTGTTGCACCAACGCTGCTCCGCTTTTTGCACCGGCGCTTCTCTTCCTCTCCTCCATTTTGTTGCACCACGGGCTGCTCCGTGCTGCGTTGGGTTTTTTTGCACCAGTGCTGCTCAGTTTTGCACCAGTGCTGCTTCGTTTTGCACCGTCGCTTCTCCCTCCTCTTCTATTTCTGCTCCACTTTGCACCAGTGCTGCTTTGTTTGTGCTCCGTTTTGCACCAGTGCTGCTCAGTTTTGCACCAGTGCTGCTTTGTTTGTCTTCTGTTTTGCACCATTGTTGCTTTGTTTTGCACCAGTGCTGCTCCCTCTGTGCTCAGTTTTGCACCAGTGCTGCTTCGTTTGTGTTTTATTTTGCACCACTGCTGCCCCATTTCTGCTCCATCTTGCACCATTGCTGCTCCGTTTGTGCTCAGTTTTGCACCACTGCTGATCCATTTCTGCTCAGTTTTGCACCAGTGCTGCTCCCTCCCCCACGATTTGTGCACGATTGCTGCTCAATTTTGCACCAGTGCTGCCCCAGTGCTGCTCCGTTTTGCACCACTGCTGCTCCGTTTGTGCTCAGTTTTGCACCATTGCTGCTCCTTTTTGCACCATTTGTGCTCCGTTTGTGCTCAGTTTTGCACCATTGCTTCTCCCTCCCCCACTATTTCTGCATTCTTGTTGCTCCATTTTGCACCATCACTGCTTTGTGCTCAGTTTTGCACCACTGCTGATCCATTTCTGCTCAGTTTCGCACCATTGCTGCTTTGTTTGTGTTCTGTTTTGCACCACTGCTGCTCAGTTTTGCACCAGTGCTGCTTCGTTTGTGTTCTATTTTGCACCAGCGCTGCTTTGTTTTGCACCAGTGCTGCTCCATTTGTGCTCAGTGTTGCACCATTTCTGCTCAGTTTTGCACCATTGCTGCTTTGCTTGTCTTCCGTTTTGCACCATTGCTGCTCTGTTTGTGCTCCATTGTGCACCAATGCTGCTCTATTTTTGCACCGTTGCTCCACTTTGCACTATTGTGGCTCCGT